AAAATAATTAATACATGTCAAAACTACATGTCCAAGACATCATCCATCTTAATAATATATTTATATGAAAAATGAATTATATATATTCTAAATGGGGCGGGTTTGGGTCGGGAATTAGAATACTATCCCCACCTCTCTCCGAACACCATACCCGAAAAATAACCCGTATCTGTCTCCATACCTAACCCATTAAATCGAAGCCCCGCAAAGACCCTTACCCGTTGAGAAAACTTCAATATCTACATTTGATCAAGAGTTGGGTTTTGTGGTCTGTCATATTTCTTCTGACTTATGCTTTTCTGTTTTTGGTGAGTCGAAATTCTGAATGAACCCACCAAATAGGCCAGGGCTGGCTAAGCTTGAATTTGTTAGGCCTTGGTTAGTTGTTGCTGGGCCTATGTTTTCCATTTTGATTTGGGCTTGTGTAACAAAAAAATCTGGGCTCAAAATATAAGAGCTTGTCCATATGTGCTCTCTCGTTATCTTTATTCTCGAGGCCCTAAAACATTCAAAGGGTCTTCTGCTTTCTTGGCCAATACGAGTAGGCCTCGTCAATTGGCTGGGCTTTAAAAAGAATAGAGAAAATAATGAAATCCACCAAAAACAAATTGTTGTATTGTTTTTTCTTCTCAAAGTCGCCTTCATTCAACAAAATGAAATCCGTACATGATCAAATTCAAAAGAAAACAAAAATCTCTGTATATTTTAGAGTTAAAAAAAATAATGGAAGTTCAACTTTGGCTTAATTTAAAATATACAAAATTTTCGAAGGGCTAAGTTAACATTTAACACAAATCAAGGGTGCCAATTCTCCATCTAATCAATCCACACACCAACAAAAGCAGATAACTTTTTTTTTCTTTTTTTCTTTTTGTATAAAAAGAAGAAAACTTTTCTTACTACAAAAGAAGAAATTTTGGAAGTGGAAAACACACACACTTCACACTTCACAACAATGGAAACTCACGGACATGCAATAGCCCAGCACGGTCTAGTGAACACGTCATCAACGTAACCGCTGGGCCCCACCACTTGGTCCCACACTATTTAACACCGGGACAAGCAACTCTCCCTCTCTCTCTCCCTCCTTAATTTCTCAACCTCACCCCCGGAAGACTACTACAGCAAGTCTACCTAGTACCCACACATATCGGAGAGTCGTGCGTTTCGGATATCGGACATGGCCGCTTGCGTCTCGGACACGTCTCGGATCCTATCGTGCCGAGACGGGCACGCCGCCTCGCAGCTGAAGCTAATTTCTATAATCGTCATCTTCATCACGAGCGTAGTCGGAATTTCGTCGCCAGTCCTCCTGTCCCGCTATTTCCAGGGAAAGCCCGCATACGACAAAACCACGCTCCTGATCAAGTGCTTCGCGGCAGGGGTCATCCTGTCAACCTCCCTCGTCCACGTGCTCCCCGACGCCTTCAGCGCGCTCTCCGACTGCCGCGTGTCCTCGCACCACCCCTGGAAAGACTACCCCTTCTCGGGCCTCGTCACCATGGTCGGCGCCCTGACGGCGCTCCTCGTCGACCTCACGGCGACCTCCCACATGGAATCGCAGCCCGGCGGCGGCCACAGCGGCGGCCACCACGGGCAATACGAGGTCGTTCCGATGGGGGGGAAGGAGGAATTGGGGGGGAAGAGTAGTAATAGTAGTAAATTGGCGATGGATGTGGAGTCGGTGGCGGGAGGTGCGGAGAGCAATAGCGGTAGGGTAAGTGAGGAAACGTTGGTGAGGCTGAAGCAGAGGCTTGTGTCTCAGGTGTTGGAGATTGGGATTATTTTCCACTCGGTGATTATTGGGGTCACTTTGGGGATGTCACAAAATCAGTGCACCATTAAGCCTTTGGTTGCTGCGCTTGCGTTTCACCAGATCTTCGAAGGCATGGGTCTTGGGGGCTGCATTGCTCAGGTAATTAAATTCATTAACTTTATCCATTAATTAGAAGATAAAGAAGAAAGAAACGATTATGCCATCACATAGATGTACAAGTATGCGGCTTAACAGTTACAAACTTTGGTTCCCATTTATATATTTTCAGCTGATATTCTCTTTAGAATTAAAATGAGTTGGTCTATTCTAGTGAAAATAGGTCTTGACATGTAGACGAGTTATGTTAAGTTCGAACTTACATAGCATTTTGGTAGTTTGTGCGAGATACTTATTCTTTTGTAGTTTAAATTATCGCTGATACTAAAAATAATGATTTTTTAGGATTAAAATATATCAAATTTTGCTTTAATAAAATATGAATAGGCGATTTGGGTTTTGAATTCATTCCATTATGAAAAGAATGAGTAAAACAATAAAGAAGTGTTTCGTGGTGGATTTAAACTTTAAAAAGTACAGAAAGAAAGAATCCACAAACTAATAGCCAAAAATAACGAAGCAAATTGGTAGGATTCTAAGAATATTCTAAAATAGACGATGTAGTGGCAAAAATCTCAGTCCCCCGTGACAGATATTGACGCGTGGCTTAAAAAAATTCTCAGACCACCTGGAATGAATGCTGCTCACTTTAACAAACTGAAGTGCTTTACATGTATGCGGAAGTGGGTAAAAATAGAAGAGTTTGAAAACTTCACATTAACATCATCATTTTTCTTTTGGGTACAGAATTGAGATCAATAATTCTGATGGGGTGAGTTTCAATTGTGGAATTCCTTAAAGTTTATTTGTGAGACACTGTTGTAGGGTTAATTGCATCTTATATTTTAATCATCCGAACTGTCGATCAAGGTATCCTTGAATAAAAGGGACTGATTAATTTTGATAGTATCTGACATATATGGGTTATGATATTGCAGGCAGGTTTTAAATTGGGAACGACAGCCTACATGTGCTTCATGTTTGCAGTGACAACACCAATGGGGATAGTGTTGGGGATGATCTTATTCTCAGTGACAGGTTATGACGACAGTAACCCTAATGCCCTAATCTTGGAGGGCTTGTTGGGCTCCTTGTCCTCTGGTGTACTTATCTACATGGCTCTCGTGGATCTTATAGCCCTTGATTTCTTCCACAACAAGATGATGAGCTCTGATTCATGGCTGCGAAAAATATCATTCATTGCTCTTGTTCTCGGCTCTATCTCTATGTCCATCCTTGCCCTTTGGGCCTAAAATTTTCTCCGTTTTGCAAATAAAATCAGGCCAAAAAAATCATATCATGGGTTGTATAATGTGAAGTGTGAAATGTGAAATGTTCATCGATAGGTACCCAGTAGCACATATTGTCGAAATCACATCCTCCTTTGTATCTCTGTAACAAGAACTAGAGGAAGGAAATGAAAAAAAAAAATGTCAAAATCGATTAGGCGACCAACTAGGCAAGCTTGTGAGTAGTAGTGGTACGTACGTACATGTACCTTCTGGTGATCACGAATCAATCTTTTGATAGAGATGGAATCCACTTATATGAGATGTGGAGTGTGAATTGTGAAATGATCAACTTACCAAAGAACTTTGTGCAGGCTTATGAATCTTCTTAGTCTGTGCTTTTAATTTCTTTTATTTGTTTGACGAGGAAGGGTTTTGAACTCAAGAGAAACATGGCGGGTACACAATTATGACCAACTGACTTAATTCATATATGCGTATATATAGTTATTTCTTGTTCTAAGTGTATTAGAAGGGGCATTTAGTTGCTTCACGAATTTTCTTATTAGGATTGAAATATTAATTCTGGGAATGAAAACAATAAAAAAGAATTACATATTTTTGTTGGTTATGGATGGTTTAGAAAGTAGTGAAGGACATAATCGGTTTGGTTAGTGGTTTAGGCTCATGCCACATCGTTGGCCCCCCCACACTCTCTTTATCTTTGCTTTAGTACCATGCACTCTTCCAGTTTCTGCCTTCTATGTCATCTTCAACTAATAAACACTAAAAGTAAAAGTGCATGCAGATTATACAGATTGATACGTTTGTTCAGTCAGTGGTTCAATGGACAGCGTCTTTATGAGCCAATGAACTTCTTCATATATTTCACTATGACCTTTCAAGTTTTCGCTTAGAATGATAAAACAGTTTTGAGCCTTACTCTTTCTGTGGATAAGTAATTCATTTCAGCATGTTTCTGGTAAATACTACAACAGAAATATCTTTTGATGACGCAATTTAAAAGATGGGTCTAAAATAGGCGTCATTAAATTCTATTAACCATTACTCAATTCAGATTCACCGCGACATTGAATGTGGTATAAGCTTGCATATTTAAAATAGGCGACATTTTAAAATACTTTATATAAGCTTACTTATTTAGAACCCAGAAATGTATTATAAGGAAGATAGAGCAAATATTTAATTGGTTATTTGGATCTGAGTTTCAGATTAATAAATTAAAGCGATACTAATTAACAAGTCGGTCCCGTAGCTCAGTTGGTTAGAGCGTTGGTCTTATGAGCCGAAGGTCGCGGGTTCGAGCCCCGCCGGGACCAATTTGATTCGATTATTTTAATCCTCTATATATTTTTGGGCTATTTGAAAAAGAGAACATTCTGGCCCATGTAGTTTGGTTTTTGTTTTTGACAATTTAACGAACAGTGAAGTTGGCCCAATATGAGTGAGAAACAAACATAAGAAAAGCTCTTCTTTATCATCTTTGGTTAGACAACAATCTCTTTATTCAAAGCTCAAAAAGCATACAATTAGTAAGCATATCGACACTCACCCAAAGTAAAAGAAGAAGAAACAGCCTGAAGTGAGAGCACACAGAAATGACACTAACACAAATGCTCGCAACGCCTAGAGGCACTAGACGTGTGTATATGGGCATCTACTCAAAATGGGAGCCCAACTTGTAATCAATATAGTCTCCCTTTCTTGAATTCCAAGGTCTATTCGACCGAAAAAGCGTTTTCAGATAACCAAAAACGCTTTAATTCCAACGTATTTTTCATAGAAGGACTTGTGATGAAAGTGCTTTGTACATAAGTACTTCCGAACATACCTACACTACAGAGTACTAATAAAGCACATATAAAGCAACCCCACCGCCACAATTATCACCACAATTTATTCAAAACCAAGAGAACCTATCCAAAAGCTTTACTTCTTTTTTATGGCCTCCCAAGACTCAAAACTCTTTGAGTGGCATTTCACCGACCTCAACCACTCTGACTTCCACATCTACAGCCGAGGCCTCTTGCTACTCCTCCTATTCTTCTCTCTCATCTTCACCATAACCATCTTCTTGTTTCATGCTTATTGGGCTTGTGTAGGTCGTCTCTCAACAACAACCACCTCCATGGCTGCAAATTCTGCGTCATCAATGCACTCACATGGGCTTGATGCTGCCACCATTGAAAGCTTGCCGGTTTATTTGCATCGGTCGGTGGTCATCGCTAACCCTAATGCCGGTGACATTGAAGCCACTGAAATTGAATGCTGTATTTGTCTTGGGGTATTTGAAGGAGAAGAGAAGGTCAAGGTGTTACCAAAGTGCCACCATGCATATCATTCTGAGTGCGTGGACAAGTGGCTCAGCGTTCAGTCAAGCTGCCCGCTTTGTAGATTGTCCCTCCGAGTCATCAACACTCTCTAGATATATTTATATATACATCTATCTCTTCATTGAATTTATAATTAACTCTCCCTAGGTTTTGTATGTATATGATGATTTGAATAACCATACAAACACAATAGCTATAATTTCGTCAATCCTGAATTTTGTATGTACCACATCTACTAATCATCTTACTTTTTTTTTCCTGTACCGCATATATATATTGAAAAGGATTGAAATGAGCAAGAAATTACAAAGGCATCGTTTATAGTTTTGAAAGTTGAGTTATTATAGTTATGATTATTGGGTTCTGGTTCGCGTTTGGTGTTTAGGAATTTAGTGAATTATCCAATCTGATCTAATGTAAAGCAAGCACACCGTACATGATAAAAAAAAATAAAAAATCACGTAGCACCACTTAAAATGAAACTAGTAAGATACCGTATATAGTTTTTATTTTTACTTTTTGAAGGTAGTAATTTATATTGTTGCTTATATAACTTTACATGTATGAATCCTCTTTCAGTTGTCCAAAAAAGTAAATCTAAAAATAAAGGAGCCGAAATTGCGGTTTAGACTTTAGAGGGTCCTATATATTTAATTTCCTTCCATGAGTAAAAAGTCCCATTGTGTCAACGTGTCTTTTGACACAAACTCTGGCAGTTGCATATGCAAATTATTCACCAAATTGGAAATAAAAAATAAAGAAACAAACAAAAGATAAAGTTGGCGTTTCCAAATTGCTACAGGTTAATTGCAGTGTATATGGCAGTTGGATGAGCATCCATTCCCCGTACGATCAATTATGCTGAAGAATAGCGTTTTGAACATCTGTTTTTCTCAAGGAAAATATATTTCCTCCAACCCATATGCCTTTTTCAGGCGGCTCCTTCTCATAAGTTAACATTGAATTTCCTATTCCATATGATTATAGGGATGTCTCGGAGTCAACCTGTGTAGCAAGAAAAGTGTGAATTATACAAATGTATTAAGAGTCCGTTACCAATCTTAGTCAAAATTGTGGTTTCATCATTCAAATTTCATCCAAAAGTTATATGTAAGGCTCAAATTTTATTCATACATGTATGCTCCTCGTGCAACTTTTGAATGAAATTCATATTGATTTTGACTTAGATTTATAACGGACTCTAACACGTGTATGATTCACACTTCTTTTACCACACGGGTTACCTTGAGATTTACCTATAATCACATGAATTATTTGCATAATACACATATTACACTTTTTTTTCTTTATTATGATTATTTTTTCCGTAGAGACCATTATTCGTCCACAAAAGAAGGGCAATATTTTTGGGAAATTTAATGCAGAAGGACCGGAAGTCCAGGCAAAGATATGTATTAAATGTAATAGACGGGCATCATGACATTGAGAGAAGAGTTCTTTCTTCTTCTTGACCATTCTCCTTCACATATATACGAAAGCAATGGTCCAAAACATTGACCAGAAAACATGGACGACTTGACTTGACAGCACCCTTTGTCCTCGTCCTCACCCACGTCACCCACAGCACCTCTCTTCCTTCCAGTTCCACCTCAACCCCCTACTACATATTCTATTATTGATCAACTGGTCACAACCCAACTACCATATCAATATCCTCCATAAAAACGCTTGAGCTTAAACTCCAAATTCAAGTATAGATAAATTGGATTACATCTTCGTTGAACCACTCGAGATTGATTCCAATTTATCCGAATTCACTATTCAAATTCATAATCCAAGTTCAATGTTATGAAAAACCAGTTGATAGTCTGATTAAGAACTTCTATGAACTCACAAACACTAAACATGTCGATATTTCTTCTAATTTAAGACGCACTAAACAAGCATGAGCCGTTCCATATTAGTGTGTATGGCCTACTTTTTCTTTATATGCCAATTGATAACCCATTACCAAATTGACAAGAGATTACAAACTTGGCTCTAATCTAAGACTACTTTCTCAAACAGATTACAAACTTGATGAGAGAATGCCAACCAATAAGACCAATTAGTTTAGTGCAACAATGTCCAAATGAAGGAAGATGCGGCTCCTCCAATCACCCTTGTGTGTTTTCTGAACTTTGCAGCATTGTGTTGTGCCTGAAAATGGAGTGTTTGGGATGAGAAGATTGGAGACTGTTTGGTCATTTTGGTGTAACCCGTGTGGTAAAACTCCCCACCATACTCTACATTATTTATAAATGTCACATCTGAGACTATCTATCTTCCTACCTTTTCATTTCAAAAACTAAAACTGACCCAAAATTTTGAGCAGAAGTCGCATCAGAAAATCATAAACAACCGGAAAGATAGAAGTATTAACAAGTCACTCAATAACTCACGTCAACAAAAGGCATCCCTGAGACGCGCCAAAAATAAACAACACACACAAAAACAGATTCCATGTATGGCTTGCTTGCTTGCAAGAAATCTATACAAATTTGGTTTACAAACAAACCCCAAATCTCTCTCTGATTTCAATCAATCATCCATTTGGTTGCTGTGATCATTCCCATTTGTGGTTGGGAAAACCTTGCTGATTTCTGGCCTGTTTCTGCTCAGCATTCTCTTCAATGAACAACCCACCGTTAATGGAGATGAGGACGAGGATGAAGAAGAAGATGAAGATGTGGGTTCAGAATCAGTTCTCATCACCCCGACACGAACAAGATCATCATTTTCAACATACCCAGAATCCAGAACATCAATTGCAACCGATTCTTCTTCACCCACCGCCTGATCCGACGTCGTATCAATCCCCATCCCAATCCCATCAGCGCTGGTCACTATCGGAGCTCTGCAAATTGGGCAGTTCATGTGTGAACCCAGCCACATATCGATGCACTCCACATGAAAACAGTGACCACATTTGGGCAAATTCCTCCCCACGTCCTTGTCCTCAAACGGGCTCAAACAAATCACACACTCCATCTCCAAAAACCCATTTTCGTAATTTCGCTCCTCCTTCTTCTCCTCTGTTTTGTACACGAACAGAGGAATTGCAGAGATTGTTTTCAAGTCGAGGCCTTTCGACGACGCAGAGCCCGAGAACCCAGGATCCAAGGTGAAGGTGTGGAAATGCTGGAACCGGTTAGGGCCGAGAACCCGGGAGACGGTCATGGAGCTGCGGCGGCGCCTGTGGTGAGCTTGGGCCAAGAACCATTTTGCGTAGACATGGAGGAGGAGGACAAAGAGAATGACGAGAAGAAGAGAGACCAAGGCAGCAAGCAAGACATTGCCGTCGTATGAGAAAATGGTGGCAAAGAGTTGTTTGAGTGGGTTGTTGGGTTGCTGCTGCTGCTGCTGTGTGTCTGTGGGACTGAACATTATGAGGGATTGGTGTTTTGCTAAGTTGGTGTAAGTGTGGAGGGGACTGATGATGGGAGTGAATTGAAAACTGAAAAAGGTTAGATAGATATAATGGGGTCATATGAATGAGTGAGTCAGTAAATGTAGACTGAAGAAACTGCCAATTACCCAACAAAAAAAATTAAAAAACAATGAAGAACACGCAAAAACAAAGGTACAAGCAATGAAGGTTGAAGAGTGCAATGTAGTGGGCTTTAGTTTTAGAGTGGTGATTTCCCTACTCCAATTTTATCTACTTACACTCTATTTTATAACTAAAAAAAGAGTATAAGTGAATAAAATTGGAGTGGGGAAATCATTACCCTAGTTTTAACTTTTAATGGTTGGTAACATTTAACTATGTTCACGAGGTCTTTTATTTGATTTCTTCTTCTTAATATCGTCTGCTTAAAACACTCACTAACTCAATTTGTTTATTCATTTTTGTATACTTAATAAGGCGATAGCAATTTATTCATTCAAATCTGTGATATGAATATGTGTATAGACACATTATTTGGTGGATAAATATGGCTACATAAGTTTAACGAATGAGATATAAAGAACCCAAAGTATTTATTTATTTATTTATTTTTGGTTCTTTATTTCTGTGATCTTTTTATTTTTTGGGTCAAGTATTTCTGTGATCATGTGCTGCTGAGAGAGAGAATTGAGTTAACGTGAAAATGAAGAAAAAGTGGTTGTTGTGGTTGTTATAATGGGATTAAATTGTGGGTTTTGGGGGGCGATTTGCTTGGTGTGCTCCTACATTTGCGTGTAATGGTTGCCAAAGGGTCTGTGGGTTTCAGTAGATTAATGCAAATGGGAAATAAAGTAATGGGGGAAGGGGTTGGAAGTCAAAGGAAGGATCCCTATATCCAAGGGGAAGGCCGGGGAATGGGAATGGGAATGGGGAGACTCTATGCATAATGCAACGGTAGACTCGTGAAGGCGACGGCAGCAGCGGAAGAGAAAGTATTGGATTCATGTGCTATTTCTTTAATGAAGGTGCTGGAATCCCGAGAACCTTGAGATCTATCCAATCAACCACATCTTCCTTCACCTTCTTTTTTCAGTGTTCTTGTTTTTTCTTGTGTCTTTTTGTAATGCTGCTTTGTCTTTTGCTTGTGAGATGATTATAATTGGGGTTATTGTTAAATCGTCTCATTGTATATTAGTGTTCAAAAGAGGTTTGCTCTTTGACAGTCTTTGTCTCATTGCATAACATATGACAATCTTTGTCTCATTTTATAATATATAAACGAATTATTGCTAGTATTAATCGTGCATACATGATCACCTCACACATTTTGAATAATTGATAAGTGTGAATTTTAAAATAAATCTCTTAATTATGCATTGGTCAAAATACGTACTTAAAATTCACATACATCAACGATAATAGGAATTCATTGACGAATACACAATCACTAGTATCATTGGAAGATTTTTACCTCACATTCCTAATAAGGATTTGAGTCTTACCCTTCACCTTCTCTAAACCAAAAAAGAAATGTGAATGCTTGCAAGTTGCAACCCCATAAAGAGAAATTGTCATTCATATAATTTGAGTTCAACTTCTCTAAGAAAGTATAAGCTAAATGTCATTAGATTAAATGGTCTTAAATCGTCTTGAGAAACGTACTAGAATGGAATAATTTGTTTGATCAAGCAAAAACATTAGAATAATCTTTTCTTAATGCTCTTTTGGGTGTGTTTATGTTATCTTTTTCTTCATGGCAGAAAACTATGGAGAAAGGAGGGGCCCAAATTGTGGTAAGATTCTTCCTCTGAGGTGTCAATTCTTAGATGAGGGTTCCCATGTGAAAGTAGCCAGACTTTTTTCTGTTTGCTCCATTAATACCGGTGGATCTTTAATGGCTTCTTACCCTTTTTTTTTTGCACGTTTTTTGGTGCTGATTTTTACCTTTAAACGGTAGGTATAGGCTCTAGCCTCTGGCTCGTGACATCTCCCCTGACCCAGTCAGTCTCAGCGGCAAAACGATTCTGTGACACACTTGGCTCTCTTTCATGAGATTCTTCACTTAGACCAGGACCCCCCCTCACGCAAAGTTTTGGGAGTCAAATAAGCTAATAGGTTAAGATCTATTCAACAACCAAGACAAACCGCGATTTCCCAGCAAAACCTTTTCCTGCTAACCCTAAAAAAGACCGGACGAATCAACGAATTTTCTTCAACTTTGATCTCATTTATTAACGTAATTGATTAGTTTAAGTGTACAATCACAAATTGCCAACAAAGTCTAGTCTATGAAAAGAGTCTTGACTTGCAAACTAGTTGTCTCAAGTTCGAACCAACATAACACCTTAATAGTGTGTGTGTGTGTGTGTGTGAGAAACCCCCTCATTGTAATTAGGCTATCGTTTGTATTAATTTTTAAAAAAATCAACCTTAGCATAAGCTTTAAAAGGTCATTTTATACACTAAATAATCAACATCATTAAAAATGAGATTGAAACTCAAGAAAATTGGGCAGAACTGAGATTTTCTCAAGCTGCATAGAGAATATTCAAATAAAAAGAATTACATTTTTATGCCAAGACAATAAGAATTACATAGAGGTTAACCTCATTAGAATCAATCGGGGAATTGGTAGCTAGGCACATATTTTGGATTACTGATTATTGTAGATACAGTTGAGACATTGCTACATTATGCTAACCAATGGGCAATTTAAGAAACTTAGAAAATGGAAATTTTCAAGCACTTCCAAATTACAAACAAAAGTTGCATGTAAGAATTTTCAGTCCATGAGTTTGTATCTTTTCTCCTGGACACCTGTAACTCCCATTTGAATCTCTATTATGGTATGAAGAGGCATCTGAAATTTGAAAAACTAGCTGTCAGAAAGGACCTTCATGAGATATGATAAAGTAAACTGCTACAAATCTGTATTAAAAATTACCCTACTTCTAATTCTTATCAAATCGTAACTTGAATACCACAACCATGCGTAACCCAGGATTTAGAACTTGTAAATTTCCATCATAAAGTCTTCTGTGATTCAGATTGTTCAGGGAAGTAGGGAATATAGAATACAAGAAATACAAGAAACAGGTAATTTGCAATTTTCCATAAACTACCTCAATGTGTGGAATCTCTTTCAGAGGCCTATCAGCAAAGTATGCGTATAATGCTCTCAAAACAGCCTACAAGAATAAAGAAATCAACAAGCTCATATTATTACAACCACAACATGAAGGAAGAAAAGAAGAACACTCAAGCACAAATTGGTACTATGTGTATTAATCACCTGATGAGATATAACCACAACAGGTGCACGCTGTCGTTCGAGTTCAATGATTACAGGCTCTAACCTGCATTTGTGGTGGAAGTCAAATTCTACTGAACAGGTGTTATTGTTGTGAGAAATGATTGTATATTGTAATTGCAAAGTACAAACCTTTGGATAACATCTAAATAAGATTCTCCACGAGGATACCGATACCTCAGTTTGTCTTTCTTACGTGCCCTGCAGTTAAACATATCTTTTCAAACAACAAATGTCTTTAAACAAGGAATACTTTTCAATTTCTCTCTTTTCTTTATCTTTTTTCTTTTGACATACACACACACACACACACAAAGAATAATGCAACATACTCATACTCCTCTGGCATGTTTTTCTTTATCTCTTCATCATTCATTCCATCACACACACCAGCATATATCTCATCCAGTGCACGCCATTGTATCTAGAAAAATTGTAAGGAACTATAAATCAACTATACTTAATCATATTCAAATTTCTGGGTCTATCAATTATCTACTGTGTGTGGCTTAAGTATAGAACATGCGAGACTTCGAAAGTTGATGAAATTCTAAAAGTTGTACGGTACACTAACCTTGGGAAATCCTACGATGGGACTTGCTGTCAAAATTGCTCGCTCCAGCGTGCTAGTCCAAATCTAAACACCATGGAAAAAAATAATGTTAACTCATATTACTGTATTCAGTCAAGGGGCAAGGGAAATAGACGTTTGAAACCAATCAAATAGATTAAGTCACTATACTTATCAAACAAAAATATCAATAAATGATGTCATGAAAATGGTTCCACCCCAGACACATGTGCTACATACTAGTAGGAAAAGAACCTAGAGGTGACAATACGTTTAGTGGTAAGACAATAGTATGCATAACATCTTTGTTTTTAAGTTCAAAGCCAGACTCTATCTACAGTTTTGTTGCTCTATTCAAACAATTTCGTGCAAAATGCAACCTTCCAACCTGAACATCTGAATTTATGTTTGGTTACATTCTAGAATAACTTTTTCTAGCTTACGAAAACAATAATTTGCAACTAGACATTCAAAAGTAAATTACATAGTTATATAATGTTTTTTTTAGATGCGTAGTTATATAATGTTAAACAACTGATATTAGTTACATATCTTTAGCTTATACTTCAACCACACCACTCCGTGGCCAAAGCACATGATTGAGTAAGAGATATATGTAGACTACACAAGAAACAAGGATCAACCTACAACAAGCATTTACTTCATATGAAATGCTAAAAAATTAAAACTGAAAATTGGATACTGCTGAAGCTTACAGAAGCAGCCCGCTCTGATTTCAGTCGCTTTTCAACGAAGTTAGCAAGTTTCTTTGCATAAATTTCTCCAGTATCACTGTTGAAACACGTAATAGTATCTTTTGGTAAGTTCCACTCAACACATCACTGACTCATGAAATAACAAAATTTTCATGGAATTTAAAATGCATCATAGAGAGTTGAAGAGATCAAAGGAACAGGTCTTAGAGAATGAGTCAAATCCAGACCATATAATGTACAGAAATGAAACAGTGATGGGCAAAACGTCATCAGATGAGAGAAACATAGAATTTTATACATGAATATCATGGAGGTGAACAGAATTTAGGATCAGATAATTTTGAGAATTTACTGTACTAAATGCATATTGAAACGAAAGCAAAGTAGTAAAATTATATCTTCATAATCAACAGCAAGGGCAAACCTCAAAGGATTGTCTCCCCCAATTCTGCCTCTAACATTATCCTTACTCTCTCCATGCCTAGTAAGTAATATAGGGCGGGGCGTGAGATGTGTATTCACCTACAACAGTGCAGCAGAAACAAATGAACAAATGACAGAAGTATGAATTA